GGATCACGTTCTCGAGGAACACCTTCAACACGCCGCGAGTTTCCTCATAAATCAGACCGGAGATACGCTTCACGCCGCCTCTTCGAGCGAGACGTCTGATGGCAGGCTTCGTGATACCCTGGATGTTATCACGAAGTACTTTCCTGTGACGCTTCGCTCCGCCTTTTCCCAAACCTTTACCTCCCTTACCGCGACCGGTCATTTTCCTTGATTCGATTTCATTCCCAATCCTAAGAACATAACAAGTTAGATAACAAGCATAACACAAAATAATTATTATCTGAACATATCAATTTAAATTTATTAGCTTTGTTGCCGTTGAAACAAGATGGCGTTCAGAAGTGTTTGCGTAGTTTTCCAGCAATATAGGATAAACTAAGAGTTTTGTAGCATTAGAATTATTATTGTATTGTTCATATGTAGATTTGTTTCTTTTTATATGAATACTAGAAAGTAAAATATGTGTTATTATAAGTACTAATATTTCATTTGGCGGTTTCTCGATGTACTCATTTTTATAACAGCGACATCTGGTCATAAAACGATAAATACAGAAAGTTCAAAGTTTTAAACCAAAATAAAACTAGAATCGAATCCATTGTATAGCTTATTGACGAAAAACAATTTATTTATATATATGAATACTAACGTAATTCAATTTTAAAATGGAAACAAAGTCAACCTTTAGTTTTTACCTCGAAAATGTTAATTTCGAAAATTTGATTTTTTTTTACATTAATTACGTAAATTAATTTATTTTGAAAACATAATTTTATTCTCATGTATGTGTTTTCGCATGTTTTTAAAATAAACGTTAAAAGTATTTAATTTTTCATACCGTTTTGTTATTTTTTACGATTTCCGGTTCGGTGAGTGTTTGATTTGGGATAGGTAGGGTCGTTAATATATTTTTTTTACGCCGTTTAAAATCGATGCGTAAACAATGCAGTGTATTTCAAGATAGTGGAGTAAATCAGTACAGTTGACATTTTATGCGTTTGTGTTAGCCATATAATCAATCAATCTATGTCTGTATTAACCAAATATATTAACTCTTAATTAATATTAACTCATGTCGACAATTACACCAGTTCGCGCGTTACTCGATACTCGCAACGCGAAAATATTATCTCAAATTTACATAGCTTTGGGTACAAAGAGACTTACGTTGAATCCTACTAGTTAAATGAAAAGTAGTTGAAAGTTATAACGTTGAAATGTGAACAACGGTGGATTCAACGTCCATCCCTAACCCTTATGCTCATTGTTCGTTTTTTGTTTCAGTTGTAACGGCGCGGTGGAGCGGAGTAGTCGTCGGTCGCGATCATTCAGGCAGTCCAGTGAAGTTCAAGAAAGAATATACAAGTGTGTTTTTTCCTCATAGCTGCTAAACTGTAAGTGCAAACATTATAATAATAACAATATTTTCTTAGCAATAAACTTAACTTTCTTTTTTAAGATAAATAACGATTTTATGTTTTTTTTTTAATTTATTTATCCATTCTCGCTTTTCTTTATAAAGCTCTTAATTTTAAATTAATTTTTGTTTTATTATGCATAAAAATCGTTAAGAGTTTGTTTAACGTAGTGCCGATTTGTTACATTTATCAGTGGCGTACCTTGCAAAGAAAATGGCGGCTGTACGAAAAAAAAATTAGCCATAACTTTCAGAGTTTATGAATTTTTATGTCATTATTTAATTTATACATTTAATCTAACATTAGCTAATTTTAATTTTGATTTGTAGTTCTAGAATATTTCCGACTTTTCAAGTATCTCAACTATCCCACGTGTGATTTTAATAAAGTAAAAAGTGTTAAGTTATTTAACATGTTGCATCCTAACTACGTATATTCTGATCTAAAGTTGTAAATCTAAAAATCTAAAAGTAAATAAAACGTTATGTTCATAAGATACGGGTTTCTTACAATGATTGGGTTTTGGCTCCCTATATTTCGGAAGATATGCGGTAGTGTAAAAAAAACGAACGTATTTGTAAAAACCACAACAGTTTCAAGCTATAAAGAGATTTTTATTTCTTGTTATTTTATAATTCTGGAGTAGATTTATTACATTTTCTGCGACAATGTCTTTTTACTGGAGTTAACAAAGTTATTTGTTCAAGAAATTCTGTATAGTGATTAGAGATTTTTATATCTATCTTCGTTAGATGTATTGATGTTAGAAGTTATCTCTAGAAAGTCACTAGATAAATATTTCACAAACGTAGGTCATAGTCTTTAAAAACACAGGTTACTTACTATGTTTTTAAATTCCATGTGGACATAGTCGGTTGCCAAAGCTATTATCATCATCGACTTGGCGTTATCCCTATAGAGAGTCAGCATAGTAAGTGCTGCGCTTCCATTCATTTCTATCAGCCGTCATATCTGAATTCACTCTCTTATAAGCATATCCTCATTCACACAATCCATATTTTCTTCGGTGTTCCTTTACTTTTCATTCAATCTTAACAAAAAAAATGAAATGATAACAGATTCTGTCTAAATTTCAGATTAGTTTTGCGGAAGATGCATCAGGCTGTCAGTGCAGTGTATGGAGGTGTTGCAGCAGTGCATCTCCAAGGTCATAAGCATCATCAGCACCCAGCTTTAACGGTCATGGCCAGACTTATAGACTCTGATGGATGATGTGGATGATGGATTTAAATGAAGTATGTATTAATCTGTTATAATTAGGGATTGGATTGTTTCTATCAGATTCACACGCACTTGCACTCATTTTAGCAATTTCACACACACTTTAAGCAATTTCATGTAGCCGCTTGTTTTATTAATATTTTACTATGGAAATTAGGAATGCAATATTTATTTTTAATCGACCTTCTTTGTATATATTGGCTACTGAAATTTATGATCTGATTAAAGCAATTCTTTTTTTGTTTGTTGTCATTTACTTATTACAAAATTAATAGCTGTTTAGCAGTTTCTTTTAAGGTTTATTTAACTTGCTCTCTTAAAACTCTGTTTAATTTGATTGATTGCAGTATTTACAATTGGATCCTTTTATGTTTTCTTATTTATTTATGAAATTTGATCTCTAATTTGGTACTCACCTTTACAAGCCTACATTATGTAGTAAATTAGGCCAAGTAGGAAAAATGTTCCCTAGCCAATAACTGGGCTAATGCTACAGAGTTGTCACCAGCCTGTTTGTTTTTGTTGCCTAATTTTAGTCCTTTGCCCTTTCTATCCTTTTCTTAAGAGGAAGGAATGAGAAGGACAAGTGTATTTGACGGACGGGGAGATGTGTATAAAGGAAAAAGTCCTCTTCATGCACTTCCCCTCCATTGATTAAGCGTAGCCAAGATGAAGCATGGGAAGAGCTTTTTTATTTGTAGAACAGTTTATTGGTGTGATTTTAATTAATAGATACAGGCAATAAAATAATTAAGAAAATGTTAACTCTTATTATGGTAAGATATATGTACAATTTAATATGTAATGTTTGACAATTTCTTAATTTGTATGATTTAAACAATAAAACAAAACCTGACAAAAATGTCTTGTTTATGGTTTATTAGTAATGTGAATGCAGTATTTTTCATCACCATTATACAAAGAATCGTAATACACAATATATGAATAGCTTTGTAAAAAAGCTGCAGCAATATGTTTAAGAAATTTAAGTGAAGTGCCAACCAAATAGACAGGATTTCATTGTACCTCAGCAGAGTGATAACAAGAGAAGAAAATTATGAAATGTTCAGCAGCCAGTCCTCACTTCACATCATGTACAGTAGCAGTTCTTCACATTGTGTGCAGCAGCAGTTCCTCACTTTACATCGTGTACAGTAGCGGGTCTTCGCATCGTGTACAGCAGCGGGTCTGCACATCGTCTACAGCAACGGGTCTTCGCATAGTGTACAGCAGCGGGTCTTCAATTTGTGTACAGCACCGCATCCTCACTTCACATCGTGTACAGCAGTGGGTCTCCACATCGTGTACAGCAGTGGGTCTCCACATCGTGTACAGCAGTGGGTCTCCACATCGTGTTCAGCAGCGGGTCTTCGCTTGGTGCACAGCAACGGGTCTTTGCATCGTGTACAGCACCGCATCCTCACTTCACATCGTGTACAGCTGTGGGTCTACACATCGTGTACAGCAGCGGGTCTACGCATCGTATTCAGCAGTCGAACCTCGCTCTCTATTTGATTGACTTTTCTCAGAATTACCTCCAGATTCTGTGGGACTTAGAAACGTCGAAAACATAAGTTCTATTCAGAACAATCTCTATTTTCTCTGTTATTTCAATAACGCCAAAAACTAAGTTTATTCAGAATCAGAAGATCAAAACAAAATTCTTCTTAGAACTGACTTCTGTTTCTTTGGTTATCACAACAATAAAAAAGTTCTTTTCAGAACTATCTCCTGTCTATGGTTATCAGAAGAACATTAAAAGAGTTCTTTTCAGAACTGTATCTAGTTTCTTTGGTTAAGACGGCAAAAAAAAGTTCTTTTCAGAACTATCTCCTGTCTATGGTTATCAGAAGAACATTAAAATAGTTCTTCTCAGAACTGTATCTAGTTTCTTTGGTTAAGACGGCAAGAAAAAGTTCTTTTCAGAACTATATCCTGTCTATGGCTATCAGAAGAACATTAAAATAGTTCTTTTCAGAACTGTATCTTGTTTCTTTGGTTAAGACGGCAAAAAAGTTCTTTTTAGAACTATATCCTGTCTATGGCTATCAGAAGAACATTAAAATAGTTCTTTTCAGAACTGTATCTTGTTTCTTTGGTTAAGACGACAAAAAAAAGTTCTTTTCAGAACTACATCCTGTCTATGGCTATCAGAAGAACATTAAAATAGTTCTTCTCAGAACTGTATCTAGTTTCTTTGGTTAAGACGGCAAGAAAAAGTTCTT